TAGAGCGTCGTTTATCCGAATCAATTGGGGACTGGGGTGGTTCGGATAACTTATTTTTCGGATAACGAATTATGTACGAAAAAATATATTAATTTATCCCGTGTTGAAATTTCTCTCCGTTGCGTGTCGCTTCGCGTTGAAGTTTCGTCGATGTTAAGCCTAACGAAGACTATTGTATCATTAAAAATTATTTTTTTATTTTGTACAAACAAAATAAATATATTGAAAAATATAAAAAGAATAAAAAATTATACTTCAGAAGTTAATTTAGTATCAAAAACGTAAAATATTTGAGTAGCCCGAGAAATAGCCAAAGATTGCAGCACCACAGCACTAGTGAAAATTTAAATTTGCCGACTGGAATGCTTTCGGATAACGGACGTTTCGGATAAACGACGCTCTACTGTATATAATTCATTTTAAATGACTTTTTGCCATTCAAATGATAAAAATACGTGTCTTAATAGTAAGATTACTTCCAAGTTTATTCATTCAAATATTCCCTATGCAATTGTTTTTATATCCTAATAAGTTTTAGAAAAATCTACATTTATAATTTTGGGCATAATAATCAAGGTAACACAATAAGAAGAGCATTATTTATTATGACATCATCACAATGCCAGGCTGCAATTTTTAATCATATTTTTAATTTTTTAAATTTAAAATATATGCTCTCTACCTAAAATTACTAGCAGCTTGCCCCTGTACATCATACTTTTCCATTAACAATGGAAAAGTATGATGTACAGAAGTATGTTGCTTTTATAAGTTAAAGGATTAAAAAAATATGCAAAATTAATTGAAATCTCCATTAATAAACTAAGAGCAGAAAACATTAAAAAATAAAAAAGTTATAACATTTTTAAATGTGTCAAGGACTTTTGCACCAGCTGTATTTCTTTTTAAAATACATGCAATGGGTAAAATGTCATATTATCTGCTTTTATATCATCATCAATTAACAAAAAAGTGAAAATAGGGAAATAATATATTAATAGATGTACAAAGTCTGGGAAAAATATTTAGCCAATATGGTATAGACCTTTCCAGAGTTCTCAGTTTTGTGCAAAATCATGGATTTCTTCAACAGTAAAATGATGATCTCGCATTAGAAAATTGCTGATACTAACAGAACTGCATTTGTGGTCAGAAGACCACAAATACAGTTCTGGTAAATCTTTTCTAATGTTTCTGATTACCTCAATGGATCTTCAGGTCCTATGTTTCCAAATTGGAATGCCTGACATAGGATGTGAAGAAGATCCATTGAGGTGATTGAAAATCTAAATTAATTAATTATATATTATAATTATTAATTTTAATAAGAGATGGTGCCTAACACCTCACTCTAGTGCCAAATTCATTTCTAATCTATAATCATATATCCAAAATTAAGCCTGATCATTTACGGCAGTTGTAGGTGTATTTGATTGAAAATATTACTACTTATTTTCCATGAGTTAGTTACTTTAAGGGTAGCGATGTTCCAGGTTCAGAATCTGTACACGAGGATTGCTAATGTAGTTGATTTAGTGTCTCAATTTGGTGTTAATAGATATTGATGAGGATTTTCAATTATTATTTAATGTAGTATGGTATTGGAATTCATTTTGTTTTCTTCTTTTTAAGTTGTTTCCAGACTTTTCTATGTAAAATGATTTGTAAAAGATTTGTTCTTTTATAATTTTTTTGGTATAAATATAATCAAGTCTGCTTTCCACTGTTGAGAGATATTTCCATGTTCCAGGGCCAGAGTTAAAAATTCTTTAGATGATAATCATTTATTTCTAGTCCATTATACTTAATTGCTTCCATAGTACTGGAAATTTATTAAACTTATGTCATTATAAGATTCTAGCAAATAGATTACAGTTAATTGGCTGTAGGTCTCATATTTTAATATACAGAAGATTGGTGCCTAAGTTGTTAAATTTTATGATCTTTTTGTGTTTTTTTATATATAAAAACAAGCAAACTCTTACTGACATTAAAATATCTTTCAAATTTTTATTTTTTTCCAAACCATGACAAATTAAACAATAATTCTTTGTAAGTTTTATATTATAATATATGGTACACTATTATTCAAGGGGACGCAAAGTAGGTATACAGTTGAGAATCTGAGAAATACAAATGTTTGGTGTTCATTATTATTATTATTATTATCTTTTATTAGTTCATATTCCTATTTGTGGTTTAATTTGTACATAAAAATAAATGTTTTTTCTTCCTATTTTCTTCCTGTATGTTTTTTTTTGCCATAATAACAACTGTATACAGTACCTACTTTTGCAACCCCCCTGTATAGCAAATTGGTTGTAGCACTATAATTATAAAATGAATTAATTATTTTTTTGTGAAACTTAATTTGGACTATTTACTGAATTTTTATTTAAATTATTGTTAAGAATTAGAAAAATCTGAGAATCCACTTTTTAAAATAAACATCTGTTGTGAATTTCAAGCATGAAAATGTCATACAAGTGGCAAATGGCAAAACAAGTTTGATCATAAAACATTACAAACAAATAAACAAAATTTCTTATATCATATATAAGCAAAGAAATATAAAAAGCTTTCTTAAAAAAACTATAGAAGTGTTTACTGATAGAAGATTGTTTCATCCAAGTCTAACAAGTCCACTGGATGCACATGAAATTGCCAAAATAAATGAATAATTTCTTTAAGTTTTTTTTAATAAAAAATTTCATTTGTGAATGATTTCCAGTATAAATTTTTACTGTATTATTCACACTGAAAACTACTTTATATGAGAAATTTACACATTTTTGATATGTAAATTTCCCAAATAAAGCAGTTGTTTTTAGTTTGAATATTTTAAAGGCAGAGTAGAGTAATTTTACTATATTATTTCATAGTATAAGCATTATCATAATTTACTTGTTTTGTCTTTCTTCATTCTTTCTTAAATTTAAAGTTACTCTCTAAAAATGTGGAAAATCCAGAAATTCAGACTATTCCAATCCCTAAGCAATCCAAATTTTTGGACCTTTATTGTAATTGTGTTTCATACAAATAGATACATAAATCCTAACAACAAAAAAAATATATAAATTTTGTTTTTTTACTTTTAATTAATGGATTTAATCATTTTAAATTATAAATAAAATTGCACTTTCTAAAAGCAGGAAGTTATATCTATGTTCAACAAAGTCAATCTAAGTACTCTTCCAACAGTGATAGATGATTTACTAATCCTTTCAACTACATTCACTAGTCTACTTCAGTTAGACCTGAAATTTAAACTTATTTTCATTCCTTTTATATTTTAAGACAATTTAAAATTTCAACATGCTACAACTTTGTGAATATCATCATTATTCATTTCCACTGTTTACTTTCATCACTGCTAGTATGTTAAACTCTATGTAATATAATAATAGACAAAGTAAACATTGTCAGACAGTGTTAAAATCCTTTTTTAATGCAAGTACTTTCAACAATACAAAATCATCATAATCAGGCTAATGAACGTCTCAAATTTGGAACAGAATATCACTAAATGCAGTATAAAACTCTTAACATTTAAATTTAAACATTTACAATTTGTAAATGTTTAAATTTAGGCTCACAACAAGCACAAAAAATTCTAGGCTCACAATAAGCACAAAAAAATAAAAATAAAAACAAAAATTCGAAACAAAAGGCACAATAGAATTCTCAAAACATTTTTAGCCTGATGATGACAATTTTGTATTATTAAAAATATTTGCATTATAAAAAAGGATTTTAATGCCATCTGACAGTACTTACTTTGTCTATTATTCATCATAAGGAATCTTATTTTTTTTACAGAAGAAAAGGTCACTAGAATTTATTTTCTATGTAATATAAATCACTGCACTTGCAATTGTGTATAAAAAGACTACAATACTATTGGCACTCATTGTTATTATGTATTTGTGCATGACTCAGTACTTTGATCACAGGTCTAACAATACTATTTTGAATTTTTGTCAATATTGATACTCAATATCAAATGAGTTTGATAAGAAAAAGTATGTTAGTTACTGTATGTTCATATATATTATTAAAGTGGAATTTAATCTATAATTTCTTACATAATTTTAAAGATTATATAATGTCTATATAAAATTCAAAATCTTTTATTCAATTTTTGTATTTCTTATGCAACTGCTCACATTTTTTTTTGTAAATTCAAAACAATTTTGAATGCAAAGTTCAAGATGTAGTTTTTTTGGAACAATTAACATATAACAGATAATTATTTACTACTACAATTCATTTATAACTTTTGCATACTGACCTGACACTCTGGATCACCAAATCTGCAATTAAATTCTAAAACTTTAGGACCATCTGATGTCAACATCAAGCCAGCATACAGTACTCCTATACATTATAATATTTGTGAGAAATAAAAAATTTAAATATGTAGTATTTTATTATTAGTATTAGTTGATATATAGATATAAAAAATCATAATATTTTACTTACAATGTTTCCTTTATTATATTATCAATAAAAAAATTATTATTATTATAAACAATATTGTAAGCAATAAATTGTTAAATAAAATAACTCAGTTTATGTAACAAACTTTGTTCATTTGTACTATGTTACAAGATAATTGGTGATATAAAGTTGTATAAAGAATTAAGGGAGAGTGAAGACTTGGTAAAAAGTGTTGTTTCATTACTATCATTTATTTTAAAAGATAGAAATGCTTATGTAACTAAAAGATAATAAACAAAAACAAAGAATCCTCATAAAAAGAAAGGCTGAGAATTTTACATTTAAGGATTAATCAAACACTTAGAATTTCCTTTGTTTCTTTAATAATATAATCAAACCTGTCTGTAATGGAAAATTTCTTTGATCCCTTGAATTTTTTGCAAAAATTAATGTAAATTAACCTGTATATAGCAGAACCTGTCTAATGAAGAAATGGAAAGAAAAATCGTATCATATAATGGAAAAATAAGTATCTTTATCCACGCTCAACCAGCTGATGCACAATGTGGAATAGGCCCTTTAGGAGGGGTGGAAAGTTCTATAGTTGTACTCACTGAGAGGTTATGAGTCACAGCTGTAAATAGAATCATGCTGATTACCTATCTAACACATTTCAGGGGGAAATTTTTGAACTGAAATAATATGACTTCTGGTTTGTGTCAAGTTCATATATAATTAATCAGGCCCTAAGGTTTCCATATCTGATGTTATCTTTCATCTATCTAACAACATTCTTCACAAACCTTTTCAAATCAGAAAAGGTTCGAAAACATTTGTGAAGTACTGTTTTTTGTTCTTTTCGTTTTTTATTTGAGTTTTACACCGGTAACAGGCTTTGATATGTAGGTCCATTCTTGAGATTAAGGAAATATGGATGGACAAATGACAGTGGGAATTTATAGTTCTACAATTTTTTCAAATTGTAGCCAAATAAAAACTATTCTTAACTTCAATATACTTTTATTTTTCTTTTAATTCAGTTTGAGTTAACTTAAAATTTAGATTTTTGAGTTATTAAATACGTTGTGAGAAATTACTTTGAATTCAAATACTTCAAATGCATACCTATGTAAGGAATACCATCTTTCTTCATTCCATGCACAGCTCTTTCTATAATATCAGTTTCAATTTTGTCAAGTAATGAACTTGATACCTGTAATTAAATATACAAACTTAATGTGAACATTAATCTTTTAAATTTACATATAAAGATTAAATAATATCTTTATAAAAAAAAACAAATAAACTGATTGTTTTACCTGAGGACAAGGACAATAAGCTCCCATTCCACCAGTATTTGGACCTTTGTCTCCATCTAATAATCTTTTATGATCTTGTGCTGGAGGCATTACTGCAATCGAAGTTCCATCAGTAAAAGCAAGTACCTGTAATAATGGATTAAATATTTTGCATGAGATTGATACAATATTAATAAATAGCAATCAAACTTATAAATGATTTATTATAGAATTTGAATTAAAAATATAAAACTCTAATATTAAGATAATATCCAAATAAATTTTGAAAATTGTTGTGTAAAACAACAAAATTCATTGAATACTTGCTGACATTGAAACAATATATTTAGAAAGAAATATTCAAATATTTTGGAATATTTATTAAACTATAATTTTCTATATGAATTTATGAACAGATGAATTTATACATATTATAATAACACTCAGTAAAATAACTATAACTAGTAAAATATTTGTTGTAGAAAACTATTGTTAATTAAATTACAAATAAATAGGAAAAATAAGAAGCAAATGATGGTATACATAAAATTGGATGTATGGTATACAATGCTTCACTGCCTCACAAACTGAAATACATTACTAAACTTATAAATAAAGGATACCAATGTCATACACTTAGTGTCTGTAAAAGAACATTTCTTGAAGACACTGTTTCATTTGTATCTAAATATGAATTAAACAATTTTCCATTTTTTTCTCAACTACTTGTGTGTTCATCTTCACACATTATATGCCACTATTTTCAATTACACATTAGTTAAATACACTTATATTTCATAATGTAGTAGATGAGTTAATTAACAAACAGATAAAAAAAATAATAATAATTAAATAACAAAACAAAATACACAAATGATTAATAGTGAAATTGCATTATAAAATTAAGACTGAATGTTGACATATTGCAAGTATGCTGTTGACCACAGCAATGTGTATCAGTGATGTGACAAATTCAAAACTGGCAAGATCAGAGGCTAAAGCCAGGATGCCCAATTCCCACCTGGACTGCAAGCAACATTTGTTTGGCGAATAAGCTTATTCAAAGTACTGTACATAATACACAAACAACTACTGGATTATATTGAGATATTATATTGCAATTATTTAAATTAATTACCAAATAATTTGTCACTAGAGGGAGGGATTAGTCATTATCTCTTATTAGATTTATTACTTATAATTAAATTAAATATATAGAAAATTCTGGAAGAAAAGAACTGGCCTGGAGCAGGACTCAAACCTACAACTGCTGCTTACCATGTGGATGCATTGCCAGTTATGCTACTCAAGCCTCCAGTCCAATCTCTTCCAGATATATTTAAACATGAGATAACCATCATTGGTTACATAAGGCACCAGCTGGGGATGCATTCAGTGTCTGCACTCACCTATGGCACTCAGCCAGTTATCAATAATGGTTATCTCATGTTTAAATATATCTGGAACAGGAAATCCAGATATATGAATAATGAGTTCAAGTCCTGCCCAGGCCAATTCTTTTCTTCCAGAATTTTCTAAATTATTTAATTTAATTATAATTATTAAAACTAATATGAAATGGCACCTAATTCCTCCCTCTAGTGAGAAATTATTTAGTAATTAATTTAAAATAATTGCAATATAATAGCCTGATATAATCTGGTAGTTGTTGGTGTATTTCATATGTACATCAGGTTTGCAGATGCTGGTTTATGTACATTCAAAGTAACTGTCAAAGAACTGTTTGCAGCATAGGCACTCTCTTTCAGTAAATCAAAGGAGAGAATTCACTCAGTGGACTTGTATCAAACTAACATTTCTGTTTGATAAAACATTCAGTCTGTTAGAAAGTTGAGTGATATTTTTTCTTCCTGCTATGCAGAAAGAAACAATATCACTCAAAATATAAAAATATCACTCCAGTTTGTTCATAGCAGACCAAAAACTGTATCTATACCATTTGTAAGGATGGCAATGCCACTGTAAAGGGTGGTATTGTTGACTGACTATGGTCTGCCTTAAATGGAAGGCACAGTAACCCTTGCTTTTCCCGTGATCAGAATGATGCAAGAAGTCATTTGGATGTATGGGGGTAGCAGTTGCTGAACACAGAAACTCACATGGACGCAGAATTGACAAATTCAACCATGTTTATTGAGTTATAAGACATGCTTACATAGGTGGTACTATGGCCGTCTCATAGATATAGATTACACCAGAGAAGGAAAGTTTGTCTCCAAAGTCTTTTCCATCTGATTCCTGAAGAAAGTTCATCTCCAAAGATATTTTAGCAGAATCTGGAGAAAGTTTGTTTCCTAGGATGAGCTGGAGGCCGGAGGAATAGTTCACACTTGCACTTGTCCAAGCTCGGGTCTTCTTTAATCCTGGATCACTCCTGGTTCAGCTGTGATGGCAGACTAACTGACTTCAAACCTCTCTGTGTCCTTGGGATTTTGGGCTTTTATATGATTTTCACCTGAAATCCCGTTTTTTGGCTGGTCCAAACAGTGGTCTCCTGTAACTCTATTGGTCCCTGATCTGTTGCTAGGAACATGATTCAGGCCATGGGGGTGTTTGACAACCCCACGTGTGCCGCTCCCTTCTGGGTCAGGTCATGCTTCTGTGTGACCATCCCGTAAATTTCAGCTGAATGTGTTTTTTCCTGCCTCAGAAAAGATGCAGCTACATTCAATCAGTCCTAGACACCACTCCCTCCAAAGGAGCACCCACATTTTCCACTTTAAATTCTGTGTAAGTTGACCACCAAAATCTCCCTAGCGGTTGATTTCCTGTTCTCTCTCACAATCTATGATAGGGGATGTGACAATTAAATAGAATCACACCCATTCCTTTGCAGTCCTGGTTCTGATTATGAAATAAATCACTGGTTTATTGGTCCCGGTCAAAGGGTGAGGTCCTAGCCTCATACATTGACCATTCACATTATCTAATCTCTAATAGTTTCAATCAAAAAACTATTTCAATATAATTATCATAATTAATACATTCTATTTTATGCTAGGCTGGAACTTTTCTTTAATTTTTACAATATTATATTTCTTGATCATGGCAGTATTTTTTAGTTTTAGTAACCAAAGCTCATTTAACTGTTGAATTTTGAGATCAATAGGAAGCACTCACTTATTATATTAATGTTCCAAAAATATAGCCCAAAACTTGAGAATAATTTATCTTTGTATTTTTAGTAGTCTAATTTTATAAAATTACTTTTCCAGTGATTTACACAAAACTAGAATTGCATAAAGAAGCACAAGTTCAATGCAGGATAAATACAAAATGTCTATTATTTTACAAAATAATCCCAAGTGGCTTTTACATTTCTAATTAATGGCAGTATTAATTTCAGATTTTTCAGTATATACGTGTTTGGACCAAGACAGTTTATTGTCAAGAATTATATCTAAATATTTGAAATAAGTCATAATTTTAATAGTTACATTATTTAATCTTAAACTATTAGTGAAGTAACAACTCTTATAAATGAATGTAAACTGAATTTCAATATTGCTATTGTTTTAACAATGTTTATGTTCTACACTGCATTTAAATGTTTTATATAGTTTTAAATTTCCTATATAGATGAGTTGTTCTAGTGTCTTGCCTCTTATTTTTAATAATGTATTATCAGCAATTACTTCATTAAAACCAGTGTAAGAAAATCATTAAACATAACATTCCAAAGCACTGGACCAAGGACAAATCTTTGAGAACAACCTCCAGTAATATACTATGACCAGTGCCCATAAGATTTGGCAATTCTGTAATTCAGAACTCTGAATAATCATGAATATGCCATTTATAAAAAGAAGGTAAGATATCATAATGTAACATAAAAACATTAATTAGATAAGGAAATTAGCAAGGATTTATTTTTGTTTTGATTGTTTAATCTGTTTCTTCTATAAATCAAATGTCTTTTTCAATGGCATAAGCTGTAGACCATGTAATCCAAGAATATTAGTGAGTTAGATAATACAGCCTTCCTTATTAAACTATGATATTCAAACTAATTATTTACTATATTATTACAAAAAATTATGTGATGTTATATTGTTATTTAAAATTCTTGAGATTTCATTACTGTCGTGGTCGAATTGTGTCAAATTTGACCCTCCAAGTTTTTTTTGCAAATCTCCATATTTTGAGACCTCCCAAGTCTAAAAAAGTAAAAAAAAAAAAGCAGGCAAAAAAATTCAGTGAATCTGTGCACATGCACACATATTGGCATCTATTTCACTTAATATCTAGGATGCGATAAAGATTAAAAACAAAATTTGGCATGGTGGCTTGTATATGAGGAGCATCGATGCTATTAAATTTTAATGGTTAGTGGTCAAGGGAGTGGGGAGATAAATGGAGGTCACATGTATCTCCAGTTGGGTCAGACTAATGACAATTTTAATCATCATTAACATTTATACTTCTTTATACAGGTATACCTCGACTTACATCATTTCGAGTTACGTCGTTCCTGATTATACATCGTTTGTCAAAAAAGTATATGGAAAAATAAAAATCAAGTTTAAGTCATTTTATCAACTTTATGTCTGTCCGCCACAAATATTGAAGTCGTGATATCACTAGAAAGCGTTTAAAGCACATAAAATCATATTAAAATATATACATTTACAAATATGTACTGTATTTATAATACATGCATTCATAAATTTAGATTACTTTTTTCTGTACTATATTAAAAACTAAAATTTATTTGTTTGTAAGCTTAAAATAGATCCTTATTAACCATATATTATTAAATGCATTAATAAATAAAATACAGAACCAGGAATAGTAATTTATGGTTTAGCCTAGTGACAAGTAGATTCAGAGACAAGTAAATTCGACTTATGTTGTTTTTCGACTTACGTTGCCTCTCCTGGAACCAATTACCAATGTAAGGCAAGGTATACCTGTATAACTTATCCCTACCCTCAAAATTGAGCTTTTTGCCATTTTATAGTAATTAAAAATATAAAAATTTTTTATAACAAAATCTCATAACAGATGGTGCCACACACAACTTTTATTAAGTTATATTCTGATTAAAATTATAAAAGTTATTTTCTAAATATGATCACATAATAGTCAGGAAAGTTATGCAACTTGTTGCTGGATTTTATTAATAA